TGGAATTAAAAGCAAACGGATTTTGGTGCTTCATTCCCATACATTTTTACATTTGTGTTATAAATTAAATTCTTGTGACACCTTCAGTGTTCTAGACTATTTGCCATTTATAAAAGCTGAGTATTTAATCATAAATTCTTTAGGTTTTAATTTTTAAATTACAAATTATAAAAAGTTATCTTTTAAGTCAAGGAAAAGAAGGGAAGAAGTCTTTGAGGGAAAGGTAGTAACAAAACAATATCAGGTATTACATGAAAACCTGGTGTAGAATGAATGTTTTAAAAATAGAGTGGATACGTTTCCATTCTTTCAGTGTATCCTACATTCATATATGGAGAGAAAATTGAAGCTTTAAGTGAATAAGTTTAGCTTTATTCTAGTCAACATTTGGGAAAACCTTTCAAAAGGAGGTTTTTCTTCCTCCATTATTCCTATTATTTTTAGCTAGAATCCTAAAATATGTAAGAAATGAACACTGTCCCAACCTGTCAATCCAAATCATGTGATTCATTCTTCCACTCAACAAACATGTATTTAACACCTACTGTACACTAGGTATGGGCAATAACCCACCCTAATCAGAAAAGTTCACCTTCTCACAAGAAAGTAAGTAATAATCATTATAGTACAATGTAAAAGTGGAAACAGAACACATATTTAAGATGTTATGTTACCAAAATTGAATATTTCATGAGAATATGGCTGAACTTACCACACTAAGTTCCCCTTAAACGGAAACCATTTTTAGTGTGCTTATATTTTTAGCTGCACTACATCTTAAAGCAACAAGTTCTATAAATTCACTGGCAGCTATGTAAAATGGCAGGGAAATTCCTTTTACTTAGTCCTAAAAGGACTTCTCAAAGTCCTACCTTCTCTAAGTTGAGAAGCCCCTGGTTTTAGTATTTTTAAGACTCTGTAAACCAAACATTAGGAAAATAAATCACAATTATGTAAATCATAACTTTCTCAGACTGTCTTTTCTCATATGACTTCACTCAAGTATTATTACCACTTGGATTTTTTTTATAAGGCCATGTATAGTTCATCTCTGTATCACTACGTCACACAGTCTTAGACCAGAAACCCCTTAACATTTACCAGAACTGGTTCCATATTACTCTTGGTTATATCTAAAGAATGTTCATTGCTTCTTGGCCTTTTGGCTAAGATCAAGTATATATCTAAAAAATGTTTAGGGGCATCTAGATGGCTCCATTGGTTGAGTATCCCAACTTCAGCTCAGGTCATGATCTCGCAGTCCATGAGTTTAAGCCCCACATCAGGCTCTTTGCTGACAGCTCAGAGCCTCCTTCAGATTCTGTGTCTCCTTCTCTCTCTGCCCCCACCCTCTCACTTTTTTGTCTCTCTCTCAAAAATAAATAAAACATTACAAAAAAATTTTTTTTAATGTTTAAATGAATCCCACCACTGAAGGATGAAAATATGACAACTGTGGGGGCGCCTGGGTGGCTCAGTCTGTTGAGCATCTGACTCTTGATTTCAGCTCAGGTCATGATCCCAGGGCCGTGTGGGGTAGAGCCCCAGGTTGGGCTCCATGCTGAGCATGGAACCTGCCTGAGATTCTCTCTCCCCCTCTGCCCATCCCCTGCTCAGTGGTGCATGCAGGCTCTCTTTCTCTCTCCTTCTAAAAAACAAATTTCTTGACCGACTTTGCAAACCAAATTGCTTTAAAATAAATATGACAACTGTGGCTATCAAAATTTCATACAAGAAATGTTTATAAGTGCTCAACAGGCATCATGATCTAGTTTATTTGCTAATTTGGCCTCACAGGACAAAATGTGATGTGCAATTAACATATTCATGGAAAGATAGCTACAATTCTGTGTGTTCATTGCTTTAGTAAAAGTAAAATATCTTTAAAAAAAAAAAAAGTAAAATTAGGGGTGCCTGGATGGCTCAGTCAGTTAAGCATCCAACTTCAGCTCAGGTCATGATCTCACATTTGTGAGGTGAAGCCCTGCATCAGGCTCCGTGCTAACAGCTCAGAGCCTGGAGCCTGCTTTGGATTCTGTGTCTCCCTCACTGTCTGCCACTCCCCCACTTGATCGCTGTCCCTCTCTCTCTCTTAAGTATAAATAAACATTTAAACATTTTTTAAATAAAAAATTTAAAAAACTAAAAAGTAAAATTATCTTAAAGTTACCAATAATAAGTAGAAATAGAGTACAGCACTCTATACTTTCTTCTAGTAAAGATTTCACACTTTCTAACATAAAGCCATAATGCCTAGGCACTAAGTAAAACTTTGGAGGTTTTACTAATTAAAAAGCAAATGCACCTATGTCATAATGGTCTGAGATGAACAGCTATCCACCAATGCTACTTCAGGATCACACTATTTACCAAAAGCAATCATATGATTGCTTCCCTGGGTTTAGACTAACAGCTAATAACCTACACTAGCTATCTGTGATTCCACTCCATCCTCAACTCCCTCCCTGACCACTAATGTTCTCAAACTCCATTCATCCATCTTAAATCTCCCAGGTGGCTTGAACAGGGTTTCCTTTTTTTTTTTTTTTTTTTACATTTAGACACATTTAGTTTTATTCTATTGCTCCAATTCTCCTATTGATGTTTTCATCCTACAACACTCACTATCACATATACCAATACTGCTCACTCTTCAGGAGCATTAAGGAAACACACATTACTCCTAATGCTTTATTATCCCTTTATAATGTGTCTCACCATCATCTCTAAAAACTTTACAAAGATGTTTCCTCACTGAAAGTTAGCAAAAACCATGGATGAAATTTACATATGAACATCTCCTTTTCTTTATATCCTAAGTCCTAGAGGAGGATTTCTCTGTGTTTTTAAATATTTTTCCCTGAAAAGCTTCTCTAGTGGCACATTAATAATTAATAATGAAATCCCTTGTTGATAAATTTTAGTTCCCATAAAGGTTAACATATAATCATAAAAACTAATATTTAAGTTTAAAAATTTTTAAATATCAACTGCTTTTGCTTTTTATGTCATGGGACAAGACCACATTTCTTTTTTTTTAATATTTACTTATTTAAGTAATCTCTACACCCAATGAGGGGCTCTAACCCACAACCCCAACATCGAGTCACATGCTCTTCCAACTGAGCCAGTAAGGCACTCCAAGACCATATTTTTTCAAAAAGTTTATTCCTTCCCCTACAACAGCTTCCCCAGAGACCCAATTTGCAAGTATGGCACATAATGAAGATCCCTTGTTGACGAATTTCAATTTCCTTAAATAATTACCTGTCTACCATTTTTTCATTAAGCACATAATTTAATTTACAGAAGCCTAGCAAATAAAAAATGTTTAAATTACTTGCTTATAAAAACCTGGTCACTATAAGCCTTGTTAACTATCCTAAATATGATGTATAATCTACGTTGCATGCCAGTTAGACAACAAAGTTGTATTCTGCTTAAGGTGCATTCCTGGGTTTCTAATTTTATATTACCAAATACTTAAAGCCCAATTTTCATTCTTTAAGCAATTCCACGGTAATGGTGTGTAGGTGGGGAACTCATAAAAATTGAGGGGGAAAATATGAGTCAAGCCATTGCTAAACGTTACCATAACAAAAGTATCAAAACTCCTTACACACAAGCTAAGAGACAAACTACTCTTTCAGCACAGGACCACTGTCTTCATCTTTGTCTATTCCAAAGTAGTGTTCTCATTCTATGGTACAGATTCTATCAATTTCTCCATAGCTAAAAAATGAGATGAGGAAGAAACAGTAAGACTTCTAGAAACACAGAATTTTTGAATAAGTAAGAATGAATGTTTAAAGACAGTCACTATCCAATTGTTTACATAACAAAAAATTACAAAAAAAATTACAAACATATATCAACAGGAAAGCAAATGTGCCATAACCATATGATGAAACATTACGTAGCTGTTTAAGATGAGAACATCAGAGCTCTAAACACCTGCAAAGATGCCAGCACTAATGACATCTCTGAACAAATGCTCCCTTCTGGGGTTCCAATTGTAAGATAAGCATTTGAGGGGGAGTTTGCCCTTACCCACAAAGTAGATATTAAGTTTCCTTGGTAAAAACTATACAGCACAGGAACAACCCTGTGAAGCCAAAACGGGAAAGGGGGCAGTAATTTTAGCTGTGTACTGCCTTAAATATTAAAGATGGACATTAAGAGAAACTTTAAATTTATATTATTTTAGCACATGGGTGGTGAAATCATTTAATGTGATTGCTACTTCAAAACAAATTAAGATACAATTTTCAGCAATTCTAGAAGACTCTCCATGATGCATACTGGAAAAATGAAATTGAGGAACATATGTTGTTCATCACAGGGCAGTAAGAAGGCTGTAGTGAAGCATAAATATTAAGAGTGTGGACTCTAGCACCCAGTTGTTGAGGTTTGAATACTGGCTTCTCCATTGGCATATGTTACTGACGTGTGGAAAAGTCAAAACATGAACTGAAACAATATTAATATTACTAAAATTGGAAAAATATTAAAAACATTTTAAGAGAATGAAGTATATTTAAGCAGGAAATCTGTTAAGTAATCAAAACATTTTGGAGGTAAATAGGTTTTTTTTCATCCTAAACTAGGTATCTCTTTAAATCCAAATATTGCCCTGTTCCTGGTCAATCTTTCCAATAATAACATGGTTAATTTAGAGGCTTATCAGTTACATCTTTGTAATTTAAAAGTTAATTATCAGAGCGCCTGGGTGGCTCAGTTGGTTAAGCGTCCAACTTTGGCTCAGGTCATGATCTCGCGGTTCGTGGGTTCGAGCCCTGCGTCGGGCTCTGTGCTGACAGCCAGCTCAGAGCCTGGAGCCTATTTCAGAGTCTGTATCTCCCTCTCTCTATGAACCTCCCCTGCTCACGCTGTCTCTCTCTCTCAGAAATAAGTAAAATATTTAAAAAAAAAAAAAAGAAAAGAAAAAAGTTAATTATCCAGTTTGTAGTCAAGGTTCTTCCCTTTTCGTTTCTTCCTAGTGACCTACTGTTCTCCTCTGCCCGCTTATCGGTGTTACCTCCACCAGAGGGCAGACAAAAGGAAGACGCAGCTGGGAAACAAAATTGACAACCTGATAGCTTCCAGAGAAGCTAAACAGTATCACCAAAAAACTTCAAACAGCACTAACACTACAGGATTCTCTGAGACGCTCTTCTCCATATGAAATAGTATTCAATAAAATAAAGCAAAAATTTTAAAAGTTGGCAAATATTAATCTATGCATTTATTCATTCATTCAACAAATATCTGAGTTCTAACCACATGCCAGGCACATTCCAGGCTCTAGGGATTCAGCAGTCAACAAAACAAACAAAGGCCCTGTTGTCATGGAGCTTTATTCTATATCTGTCTAGGAGACAGATAATAAAGCACATAAATAAACAACAATTTCAAGTACAGATAAGTACTATGCAGGAGGAAAGAAACTTACAAAAAGTTAAGACAGTGACAAGGCTATTTTAAAATAAATTAATCTGTAAAGCCTAAATAAAATGATCAAATGAGCCATGCCTTAAATGGGAGTACAACATTCTAGGAAGAATATACAACAAATGCAAAGGTCCTGAGGCAGAAACTAACCTAGCATGCTGAATCAACAGCAGAGATGATAGGCTAGAGGGGAGTAAGCAAAGCAGAAGAGATTAGGTGAGTGGGCAGGAGCTCAACCATGTAATCATGCAGGCCTCCAGACCACAGTAAAACTTCAGAATTTACCTAATAGTAATTGGTTCTGCTAACCTGAGAATGGAAGCAGAAAGACCAGTTAGGAGTTACTGCTGTAGTCCAGGCCAGGGAAGGCCAGTCCCTTGGCTCAAAGCACCAGGATAGTGGCAGTAGGAATAAAATATAAAATTTGAAATAATATTTAAGTCACAACCGATTATAGGTGCCAATGGAATAGACATAGAAAGAGTGAGACAGAAGAATTAGAGCTAACTCTTAGGATTGTTAGCCTAAGCAACTGGATAGATGATCACACCATGTACTATATATACAGCTAGTGAAGCAGGATGAAAATCAGTCGGTGTGCTTCAATAGGAAGTTATCTATCACCTGTGTTAAATGCAGCCAAGAGATCTAATGTGGCAGGCCTGACATTGCTGGACCTTGAGAAGAAATGGTCTCTTCACAGCACAGGAAGGACAAAGTCTCTCTGGAGTGGGTTCAGAACAAGATGGGAGTGGCGCTGATACAGCTTACATGGACTCCTTCAAAAATGTTTTTGTTGTTTTTGGACACAAAGTAGTTTTATTTTTTAAAGTTTTACTTTTAACGTTCCATTTTTTAAAATTTCAAACATAAAGTTGAAAATAGTAGTACAGTGAATCCTCTTAGACCCTTTACCTAAATTCTCTAATTGTTAATATTTGCCACGTTTGCTTTTATTGTTCCTTCTTCATATGTAATAATTCTTACTGCTTGTCTATTTGAGAGTAAATTGAAGATGTTTTGGCCCTTTAGTTCTAAATAAATCAATATGTATCTTCTAAGAACAAGGACACTGTCTTATATAACCACAGTACAATTATCATATTCAGGAAATTTAACAGTGATAAAATACTATTATTTAATGTTTGGTACATATTCAAATTTTGCCAGGGTCCTGCTAATAAGGTCTTATCAACTGGATTTTCCAATCCGAGATCCAATCCAGGATAACGTATTGGATTTTACTCTCAGGTCTCTTAAACTTCCTTTAATCTGGAACAGTTCCTTTGTTTTTGTCTTTATGACATTAACATATTGGAAAAGCACAAGCTAGTTACTCTGTAGAATGACCCTCAATTAAGGTCTGTCAGTTGTTTCCTCTACATAGATTTTGGTTATGCATTTTAGAAAAACCACAGAACAATAATGATATCCCCAGTCCAAGAACACCAAGAAAAATCTGTTTATCCCACTATTGGTGATACTAACATTGATCGCTTCATTGAGATGGTGTCTGCCAGACTTCTGTACTATGAAGTTATTCCTTTTCCCCTTGGTCATTAATCTCCGGAGAGACCACTGGAAACTATTAATATCCTTTTCCCCCATCAAACTTTCTCCAATAGTAACACTTGCCTGAATCAACATGACCATGATGGCTACAAGCTAGTTACTTTATGAATTCTATTGATCCTTCTACATTTTTATTGGCAGTCTACTGGAGAGTGCTTTCCCCTTTTCCTTATTTATTATGAACTTGTGGGTTCTTATTTTATTACAGAGATTATACTCCATTACTCACATAATTCATTTTGACACTCAAATTTTCCCAGATTTAGCCACTCAAGCTAGTTCCCATGTCCTTGTGGTGTGCCACCACCATTTTGGAGAACACTTCCTTACTTGTGTTCTAGGCTCATCTTCTACTTTCCCTGCCCCCGCTCTGGAACCAGCCACTTAGATTTGGGCACTACTTGTGCTCACTGCTACTAGGGTGTCATTGCGTCTAGACCTGTTCATCAGACAGAGCAAGGAAATATACAATAACCCTAATTCCAAACCAACACCAGACAGTGCTTCATTGTCTTCATATCTTTATTTTCCTTCTCCCACAGTGAAAACCCTACCTCAAAAAATATCAATGAATTTACTCATTTGCTCATTCCTACAGCACATACAAAATAGTTCAAGAATTGCTTTTTCCTACCACGATGCTATATCAGGTTCAAGTTGGCTTTGTTGTTGTTATTGCTGTTTTGCAGCTCTATCTTTAGGTTAAGGGTAGATAATCCAGTGCTGTGTTAAAAACTTACTTGGATTTTTCCTTTCTTCAGAGAGTTCGTGTGAGTCATTGAAATATAGTTGGTTCATTTGTTGCTGTTTGTATTCGATTTTGGAGGTTTTTTTTTCTTTCAACCTTGTTAATCTTATTTTTGAACATATAAATCAAGTTTCCAAAACTCAAAACTACACAAAGAGATACAATCACAGCAGTGCTGTTCCCTCCACTAAGCCTTCTCCTCAGTTCCTACCCACCCCCCAGAGATGACTAATTACTTTCTGGTTATCCTTGTCTTTTTTTTTTTTTTTTTTTGTTCTATCAAAAAATTACACTTTCTCAAAAAAACATTATGCTTTCTCAAAGTGGAGCCAGAGAAGTGGGGTAGAATACTGGATCAAGAAAATAATTTTAAGATGAGAGACATAACAGAATGTTTGCATAATAATGTAAAGGATTCTGCAGAAAATTGAAATTGTAGGAGAGACAGGATATATGCAAGGGGAAATATCTATCAAAATATCTTGTGGCTTAATCTGAGGAATCTCAGAGGGTTCCCATAGTCCAAAATAGATCGCCATACTGTTTGTAAACTTCCAAAATAGTTGTATCTATGGCTCTAGAAAACCCACATTAAAATGTCGGTTTTAATTCACCACCTATTAATGTCAATAGGAGAAAATCTGCCCTCGCAAGAGGGAGGTCTTGAACCCTGAGTTAGGCATTTAACCAGGAATAAAGAGGTGAACAGAGAATGGCTGACATGCGGATTGGTATAATAACACAGACGGACAGTAATGATAATGCTAAAAAAAACCAAATCTATATATCTCTGGCATGTCTTGGAAAAGTTACAAATATGCTAACGAGTAATTGAGGGTCATTCCTCATGTCCTGGCACTAAGTCAACGTGGCACAGAGGAAAGAACGTGGACTTCAGATTCAGAGAGGTCTGGCCTTGAATCCCAGTTGAGTTACTTAACAGCTACATGACCACCGGCGGCAAGTTATTTAACATCTCAGGGGAATGTGTTTTTTTTTTTTTTAACCTTTAGAACTGGATAATGTCTCCTTTGCCAAGTTCATGTAAGATATAAATAGAATAACGTATAGGATCACCCCAGCCCAGAACAAATGTCAAACAAATAGTTCCTATAATAAATACAGGCAAAGCTAGGCAGCAAGGTAAAGAAACTAGTAACACAGTGTACTTTAGTAAAATGCCTGAAAAAAATCAGAGAAATCACACCATCTCAGGCAGTACTTGCTAAGGGCAAAAAAATGTCCGATACTTTGTTCCAATTCTCAATTTTCAAAATGTCCCAGAATCTATTTTTAAAGTGTAAAAATATGTGCTGACATACTAAAGCGCCAATGACTTTAAAGAAACAATTCTGGGGAGATGTTGATCAAATGGTACAAACTTCCAGTTATACGAGAGTAAGTTCTGGGGATGTACAGCATGGTTACTATGATTAACACTGTATTTTACACTTGAAAGTTGCTAAACACAGGCATACACACATAGGGAATTCTGTAAGGTGATGGATGTGTTAACTAGCCGTACTGGGACGCCGGGGTGGCTCAGTGGGTTGAGTGTCCGACTTCACTCAGGTCATGATCTCACAGTTAGTGGGTTCGAGACCAGCGTCAGGCTCTGTGCTGACAGCTAGCTCAGAGCCTGGAGCCTGTCTTCGGATTCTGTGTCTCCCTCTCTCTCTGACCCTCCCCTGTTCATGCCCTATCTCTCTCTGTCCCAAAAATGAACAAAACATTTTTAAAAATTAAAAAAAAAAACTAACCATACTACGGTCATCATTTTGCAATACATTATGAGCGAGCATCCAGTCAACACGATGCATATCTTAAACTTATAAAATGTTATATGTCAATTATATTTCAGTAAAGCTGGAAAAAATAATAAAAGAATTCTACAGATGAACAAGAACCAATGACTCAGAATAACCACAAAAATAATGCCTACGGCTCACAAAGAGATGACCCTGAAGGTATTGCAAGCCACATTAACCAATTTTGTAATTTTATAAATGTGTATACACAAGAGGGTTAACCACGTTCAATAAAACGGCATTTTATTTATTTTTTTTAATTTTTTTTTAATGATTTATTTCTAGGAGAGAGAGAGACAGCGTGAGCAGGGGAGGGTCAGAGAGAGAGAGGGAGTCACAGACTGAAACAGGCTCCAGGCTCTGAGCTGGCAGTCAGCACAGAGCCCGACGTGGGGCTCGAACCCACAAACCGCGAGATCATGACCTAAGCGAAAGTCGGACGCTTAACCGACTAACCCACCCAGGCGCCCCAATAAAACGGCATTTTAAAAGTTTCCATTTCAGTTTCAAATGCATCTATAAACCAAAATGCAACATGGAAAATCTTAAAATCACCTTTAGCCAAATGCTGAAACACACAAGAAACTTTCAGAGCCTAGGATCAGTAATAAACCAAAAGCCCCACACCAATCCGTCTTAAAAATGTACAATGACAAAGACCCTCAACGCATACAATTTTATGTATCCAAACCGTCTTTTTCCTCCACAACTATAAATGACTTCCCTTTCATCTTAAATAAGCAGCGTGTGCCCGGCGTTCTAGAAGATGCACTCTAAGGTCACCATCTCAGTTTGCAACACTAAGGAATAACAATAAAGCGTTCTGACCAACAATTAAATCTCGAATGTCTTAAGAAAACTTCCCAGCAGGGTGCTTAATCCACATGCCGAGCCATTCTGTCGGTGGCCGAAAGAAAGATGTATCCACATCCTCCACTAAAAGAGAAAGGGAAGGACTGGGAGAAAAGGAGAGAGAGGGAGAGAGAGGGAGAGAGAGGGGGAGAGAGGGGGAGAGAGGGNGGAGAGAGGGGGAGAGAGAGGGGGAGAGAGAGGGGGAGAGAGAGGGGGAGAGAGAGATGCAAAATAACAAAGCATCGCTTCTATAAACAAATTAAAGTCTGTTTTTAAACTTTTGGAAATTCAGTCTTGCCTTACCGTATAGCAGTAAATATCAAAGTAGAAGGCAATCATTTGTGTTTTAAAGCAGAAAAAGAATGTGGAGAGAAAAGGAAAACATCTTATCACGTACAGAATTCACACGAATTCACATCTACTACCCCCTCCCCAATAACGGACGTATCATTTCCAAAATAAATTTAACACGAAACCACTAGTCTCATTTTTAGCACTAAGCGGAAAACTTTTATGAGCTTTCCCTGAGCTCTCCACCCAATAACCCTTCCGGGCAGTCCCGAATCACCGCTATTTTCGGGGCAACCACGAGCTCGCGCTCTGAGGCCCCCGGAGGAGCCTCGGGGCGCGGGGAGGAAGCTGGGGGTCTGGAAGCCAGGGACTAACGGGCCGCCTCCTCGCTTCCCCGAGCGAGCGGTCCCGGCCGCCCAGGAAGTGCCCGAGGCGGCGCCCGAGGGGCTGGACCCCGCGCGGGAGCGGAGCGCCACCGAGCCGCGCCCGCCCCGTCCCTCCCGGGCCAGCCCCGCGCCACCACCCGGCGGGGTTCCGCCGGGACGGCCCCGCGGCGCCCCACGCCCCCTGCGGGACGCCCGGGGTCCCCTTGGGAAGCGCAACCACGAGCTGTGCCGCGCGAGATGGCCGCCCACCTGGAGGGAGTTCGGGTCCCCGTCGACCCGCCGCTGCCTGGGTCCGCGGGGCGCTCGGCAGCCCCCCGTGCGCGGAGCCGGCGAGCAGAGCGCAGAGCACCGCCGAGACCAGCGCCGCCGAGAGCCGCCGGCCACACCCAGGCCCGCGCCGCCCAGCAGCCAACTCCGCGGCGCGCCGGGGCCGGGGCGGGGACGTGGCTCGAGGCGCGAGGCGCGAGGCGCGAGGCGCGCGGGCCCGCTGGGGACGCGCCGCGGCCACGCGCACAGCCTGGAGCGCGCGCCGCCCGGGCGGGAGACGGGGGGCGAGGGCGGCGGGCGCCGCGCGCAGCTTCTGCTTCCTATTTTCTCTCTCGTTTCCTGCTAGAAGAAGAAGAAAAACATTAATTCCCAGGCAGTTTCGTTTTCTTGTCGTTGTGGCGCCTGGACGCCGGAGCACACTTCTGAGTTGCGCCCAAGTGGTGTGGCCCGTTTCCTTCCTGGCACCGCAGAAGCCTCACTTTGCTCGTGGGCAGGATGGCGGGCTGACGTAGAAGACCCCAAGGTCCCCGTTTAAGTTTAACGTGTAAATCTGGAATTCTGCGTGTGAGAAAGTCAACTGGAGTCCGGAGTCCTACAAAATTGCATTGCAATCCCGGCTCCACCATCGATGGGCGGTTGGCCGTGTACATCTCAGGTGGTCAGCTTGGTAATTGGCAAAATAGGTGCTAACATAATAAATGACACACCGTTTGCACAGAACCTGCCCCTGAATAAACGATCAATATTTGGACGTTATTGTTACTGTCGTCACTGATGAGAGCAGGCCTTTCAGATAACGCTGGCAAGTCGCTCATCTCTGCAGGAGCTAAAACATCATATGCATCTCAACCGACTTTTTTTTCTTTTTCCACAGTTCTCCGGGTGTTTTAGGTTTAAAATGTCATAAAATGAATGCAACTATCCAATTTGCTTCCTCTGAAGTCAGCACCGCCCGGGAGCAGTTTTCCTCTCCCCACCCCCATCTTTCTTCTGAGTTAATTCCAGTTTGACAGACTGTTGCTATAGCATTCCTTCTCTGACGTCAAACAATTTAAAGAAACCGCCCTGGGTAACGAACACTGCAGAGGAGTTCTTTGTGGAGTTTCTGTGCTGGAAAAAGGTTTGAACAATGTGAGAGAACTTTAACACCTCCGCAGCCTTCCATTCCTCCAGGGCAACTTCCCACTATCACCTGGAATAAATCTTTTAGTACCTTAAAAGAGATGATGCCATGCTAAGCACAGGCTGAGTGCAACTCTGGAGAAAATGTGGCTGTTTTGTATAAAACACAGACCGTGACAAAAATGGAAACCGTCGTAGTGCTGGGATGATGAAATTAACGGTGTTCCTTCCCCCCCTCCCCCCCATTTTCATTTTCCTTTCTGTGGGGTGTTTTTTCCACTTAGAAGAGAAGTGTCAAATAGTCAACATATCAGAGTGTCAGAAAAGTTGACTGAGACCTGAATGGTTTACATCGATGATTAAATCATGAGCTTTATCACGGTCATTTTAGGAAGGGAACAAAGGGGTCTACGGCCACACCACCCTGAACGCGCCCGATCTCGTCTGATCTCGGAAGCTAAGCAGGGTCGGGCCTGGTTAGTACTTGGATGGGAGAAGGGAACAAAGGGAAATTATTATTTAAGGAATTCCTGTTCTACACCAATCTCTCTGCTTTTTTTGTATTGCGCTTAGTTCTCTTAATGACCTTACATGTGCACTTTGTCCCCATTTTACAGATAAGGAAACTGAGGCTCAGTGAAATTAAGGAATTTACCTAGAGTCACAGTAGAAGGGGCAGAGCCTACCGTGGAACCCAGATTGGATTGACTTCAAAGTCCACTTTCCTTAGATATTTTCTGTCTCCTTCTTGTGCACTGGAACTTAATAGACATTATAGACCTTTGAGAGGTCATTGGGTTAAGTTTATTCATTGAAAAACAAGTTGTTGGTATTTAGGAAAACCTGATGGAAAGTACTGAGATATTCTATTCCAGGAAAGATTAGGGGAAATATAAATCAACAACTACAGCTACAACAATCAACAACTATGATAAATCCTAACTACAAAAACCTGAAAAAATATAACAAGACCTTTGTTTGAAGATATGAGAATAAATTACACAAAATAATGACTTTGACCTTTCTGAAAACTTGCTATGGACGGAGAAATTACTAGAAGAATAAAGCCCAAGTATAAAAAAGGAAAGTTGAATCGTTACCCAAACTAGCCCACTTCCAAGAATATTATATTTTTGTTTTGCCACATCTGCTGCATATTTTTCTGAAAAGAACACTTAATTGTTAAAGGACAAGCTTGTATTGCAAATCTGAAAGTGGAACTGACAAAAAGAATTTTATTACCAGGAATGATTTCCTAAGAGTACACTAATGCATCTAAGTGGCCCAGCAATTGGTAATATTGCAAGTGATAATGTAATCCATGTAGAAAGCAAGAGAATGTTGGGGAGGAAGAGAGAGAGAGAGAGAAAGGGAAAGAGAAAGAAAGAAAGAAAGAAAGAAAGAAAGAAAGAAAGAAAGAAAGAAAGAAAGAAAGAAAGAAAGAAAGAAAGAAAGAAAGAGAAAAGAGGTAAAGTTGTGTTAATACTTTTGAAGACTGCTGATTTGTATAGACAATTGCAGTGATATGTCCTGCTTGTAATGCTTAAACCCAGTACTCTTGTATTTAGTTCCACTGGTTGATATTTAGATTTCTAACTCATTAGGCTCCTGTTCTCAAATTTTACTCTATTAAAGAGGATGATGGGGTCCGGGCTAGAGAACCTTTGAAGATAAAACCCATTTCATCCTTGTATTTTTCTTTTAATGTTTATTCATTTCCTGAGAGAGAGAGAGAGCGCGCAGAGGAGGGACAGAGAGAATGAGATACAAAATTCAAAGCAGACTCCAGGCTCTGAGCTGTCAGCACAGCACCCAACGCAGGCCTTGAACTCACAAACACAATATAATGACCTGAGCTGAAGTCTGATGCTTAACCAGTTGAGCCACCCAGGCACCCCAGTATCTTTGTATTCTGAGTAGTGTTTAATAAAATACCTGACATGTATTCAGTACTCAGTGAACGAATGAAGGAAGGGACTTGGCCACTTTGGTTTATTCAACTAACCTTCATATCTAACCCCACCCCTATGCCCTATTGAGAATCATAGAAAGGGAAAGAGGAATCATTATTTTTCAGGGAGTTTAGTTTCAGTTGCTTTTGCAGGGCCTGTTGCTCTTCTATTTTCAAGTTCAGAGAGGCTCTGCTCTTGGTCCTATGTTGAATGAATCTGAATCTGGCTCTCAGTGAACCACCCTAAAATTTACAGTGCCCTGGCTTTATAACCTACACTTTTAAATAATACCTTGGAAACCCTCTATTTTTTTTTTTTCTGAACCTGCTTTGCTCCCAATGACAAGTGCATTATGAAGAACAGAGCCATCAAAGTGTAAAATATTCCAGTACTGTTCTGTTGTATGTGTTGTATGCATTCCAATCCTATGGTATTCAAGATGAGGCCAAATTTTATACATGCACTATCCTTTACAGAACTAAAGTAACAGGATTTCTTCCAACAACAACAAATGAGTTTTAAAATATTAAATGAAAGTTGTCTAACAGGATCCACAATAGATTCCTCAAGGATGTGAGAAGTTATTCCATAGTCGACTCTATAAGGAGTTTATGTGTCATTTCAGACATCCTTGATCCCAAAAGGTTATGTCTGAATACTTCCCTTTTTCTCATGAGAGATACATTTCCATCTCAGATCTTTTTACAGCTTATATTTTGAGATTGAGTTTGCTATATTCTTCTGACACTCTTGATATAAATCAGTTATAGCTCTTGCATATTTCTTTTTAAGTTTATTTATTTACTTTTGAGAGAGAGAACAAGGAGAAGGGGCAGAGAGAAAGGGGGACAGAGGACCTGAAAAGGGCACTGTGCTGACAGCAGAGACCCTGATGTGAGGCTTGAACTCATAAACCGCAAGATCATGACCTGAGCCAAAGTCGGACACTCAGCCAACTGAGCCACCCAGGCGCCCCAGGTCTTGTATGCTTTCTGCTTGGATTTTTTAATGGTAATTTGGGTCTACAATCTACACGTTCATCAGTGACCTTAGGAGAGCACTGTACTTAACTAATGATGTCCATCACAGGCATGACAGGGGCAGGGAGAAGCACCAGGCATATATTTATTGCTCCAGATCCTGCAGTTCAGGTCTCTGGAATCTGTTATTGGGAGGAGACAGGCAGGGTGAAAAGAACACTAAACTGCATGTCAGAAGACTTGATTCAGAGTTTTGGCCCTGGTACAAAATATCTGTGTGATCTTGAGCAGATCAGAACTCGCCTGCACTCTGTCTTATTCGACTTTAAAATGAGAGTTCTGGGTGCAACAAGATCGGCAAATAGCACTGATGCCAACCCTCAGTACTATACTGTGCCCAATGTATAACCTCACTGATCAGTCATGCATTCTTTTCCTCTAAGCCTCATCCCATCCCAGGATGTCAGCAAGTCACTCTGATCTGTTGGTATTGATTAATAACGTTCTATTAGTTATCTATTACTCTGTAAAAATCCACCCCAATATTTAGTGGATTAGAACAACAATCATTTACTTTGCTCATGAATAGCCAATTTAGGCAGGACTTGGCTGACACACTCTTCTCTTCTCTAGGCAGCTTACCTAGTTTGATTTTACTTTCAAGATGGCTCTCATACGGCTGGCAAGTTGATGCTGGCTATTGGTTGGAAGATGAGCCAGTGCTGTGGACAAAGACCTCCGTTCTTCTTCACATAAGCCTTTCCATGCGTTACTTGGAAGTCCTCACAATACACTGGCTGGGTTCTAAGAGCAAGTGTTCTAAGGTAACAGGAGAAATGGCATAGCATTTTTGTGGCTTAGCCTCAGGAAGCACACACTGCAGCTTTCACAATACTTTCTTGATCTACACAATCTCAAATTGGAGTGATAGGGACACAGACCTCTTGATGAAGGAGTAGCAAGGTTCTAGAAAAGCATGTAGGCTGACACATATTGTTGCAGCCATTTTTGGAAATACAGTCTGCCACAAACAAGTATATTTGCTAACCCTGGGTTAATCTATGAGTATCACAGTCTATGTTTTTCCATTCCTTCTTCCCATTTAGCATTGACTTTATTTATTTATGCTAATATACTCTACCTAATAGATATTTCAAACAAGGGAAAATACCTTACTTTCCTTGTTAATTTGTTTGTTTGGCTTTGCTTTCTTTTTTTTATTTTAATTTTTAAAATTATCATACTATAAAATTTGCCTCTTTCTTTTGGTATACAGTTTTATGATTTTAAAC